GGGATTGAGTTCGGCTGAGGTGAGACTGAGTTTTGGAGTGAGTTGAGATAGTGAGCTTGGGGATTAAAGGGCTGCTCGGTTCGGCTATGAGAGGGTGTCGGCAGGGCGGGTGCTGTGGAGTGCGGCTAAGGTAAGGGAAATGCCACCTCTCTCTCTCTCTCTCTCTCTCTCTCTCTCTCGGCTTGTTGTCGGCACAGACGGAGGTGGAGTTCGGAGGAGAGGTCGGCTTAGGGAATGGGAGGTTTTGGCAGTGGAGAAGTTGGCTTGGTCTCAGATGCCAATCGCAAGGTCCAACTACAGGAGTCGGATGAGGCTTCGGCTACGTGGATCTGGGTCGCCTGGAGGTCGACGAGGTCGGGACAGCTAGGGGGGAACGTCGGGACTTGGGAAGCTGCGAGAGTGGTTGCGTGGGAAAGCCGAGAGCAGCCGAATGGAGGTCTCATCCTCTCCTATTTAACGACGAGGTGTAGCGTTGTTTTGAACAACGGTCGCACGATTTGAGCAGATTTTGCGGAGAAGCGACTAGAGCGGCGCTGATCTACAGGATTTCAGTGGAATTTGATCACAAACGGCGCCGAATTGACGTGATTTCCGCAGGATTTGTGGATCCGATGGACAAGGTATGATTTTGAGCTTCTCTTTTTTTTTTTTTTTTTGTTTCCTTTGGGTATAGCATGCAGGTCAACAAAGGATTGTTTAGTTTGAGACGTTTTTTTACTGTTTCTTAAAATAATTTTTTAGTAAAAAAAATATTTTTTTACTAAAAAATTACTTTAAGAAGCCAAAAGAAAGTCTTCCCAAACAAAACCTGAAATTTCAAAAATCAGCTTATAAAGAAGTTAAATTATTGTCCTGTGAAAATCAACTTAACTGATGAATTGAACCATTTGCAGTTGAGGAGAATGATCATCCAATTGAAGAAGTGAGGCTAACGGTGGATCCTACAGACAACCCGAATATCACAGCACTAACGTTTCGCACTTGGCTGATTGGTGTGATGTCATGTGTGCTTCTCTCCTTTGTAAATACGTTCTTTTATTACAGAACAGAACAACTAAGCATTGGATCAGTCTGCATACAAATCATTGCACTTCCAATAGGAAGATTTCTCGCAGCAACACTTCCAAAGAAAGAAATAAAATTTCCCTTCACAAACTGGTCATTCTCGCTGAATCCGGGGCCTTTTTCGATGAAGGAACTTTGTCTAATCACCATATTCGCGAGTGCCGGTGCGGGAGATCTCTTTGCAATGCATGTAGTAATTGTAGTCAAGGCGTTCTATCATACTAAGATCAATCCCATAGCTGCCTTTTTGTTGGTACAAACCTCGCAGGTGAGGAAGAAATTTTACATCAGAAATACTTTTTTGAAGTTCCAAAAAAAAAAAAAAAAAAAGAGGTTTTGATTTGGTTATTAATCCAGCTTTACTGGAGACATTTGGTTATTTATCGGCATAAACAATTTTTATTACATCTGTCATTGATCTCACATGTTTCTTCATGTCTTATGCCTTAATAAAATATAACTAAGTTATTAGATAATATTGCTAAACTATTAGACATTCACAATATTTGTTCTCTCATGATTATATTTATGAATGTCTAATGTTTAGTGTATTTTTAAATAATTTAGTTGTATTATTTTATTATTTAATTATAATTTAATAAAATGTAACATGTGAAATCAAAGGCACATTGCTTGGCTTTAGATATTCTGACAAATTTTTATTTTCTCTCTTAAATAACAAATGCAAGTTTGGACTTAAAACTGGCAGTTACTTGGCTTCGGTTGGGCTGGCATTTATAGAAAGATCCTGGTTGATAATCCATATATGTGGTGGCCAGAAAACCTTATTCAAGTTTCACTTTACAAGTACTATTTCTTAGAATTTTGAAATAGAGTTCTATGTTTACAAATTTCTTCATTAAGATTATCATACAAAATATCTTACTAATTGCTCAAATCATCACTTTTTTAGGGCTCTCCATCAGAAGGAGAAGAGAAAGAAGGGAACCATAACAAGATTTCAGTTCTTCATAGTGGTCTTCATCACAAGCTTTGCATACTATACCATCCCAGGCTTCATTTTCCCTGCAATTTCCACCATTTCTGTCTTATGCTTAATCTTCAAGAAATCAATCACCATGCAACAAATTGGATCTGGATTGAAAGGTCTTGGAGTTGGATCCTTCGGAATTGACTGGTCCACAGTCACCAATATTTGGGGAAGCCCATTGGCCACACCTGCATCAGCAATCTTCAACATAATGTTAGGCTTTTTCATAGGGATTTATGTGTTAATCCCAATTTGCTATTGGACTAATGCTTACAATGTCAAACGATTCCCTATCATATCCTACGATATCTTTGATTACACTGGTCATAGCTACAACACTACTAGGATCATAAATAACAAGACTTTCACTTTAAATCTGGAAGAAGCGGAAAGTTACAGCAAAATAAACATAAGTATTAACTTTTTATTGGCCTATGGCACGAGCTTTGCATATATGACGGCCTCAATCATTCATGTTGCTCTCCATGATGGAAAGTATGTTTAAAGAAAACTAAACCTATCTAACTTCCGTTGACATTTAGGCTTCTTTTGGGACGTCTTTTTTGTTGCTTTCTAAAACGGAGTTTTAATACAAAAATAAAAAATTTTGTACTAAAACTCCGTTTTAGAAAGCAGTAAAAAAGCTGTCCCAAACGAAGCCTTAGTCTATATGTTAAGATGCATATATAACTTTATATCTATTGTTAAATGTATCAGGAATATTTTGAAGATGTGGAAAGATACTAAAGAATGTGATAAGGAAAAGATGGATGTTCATGCAAGATTGATGAAAAGAAATTATGAGCCTGTGCCTCAATGGTGGTTCTACGTTCTCTTAGTTACGGTCATTGGACTCTCCATTTTTACTTGTATAGGGTTTGGAAGGCACCTGCAGGTTCCATGGTGGGGGTTATTATTCATCTTCATCATAGCTCTACTTTTCACATTACCTTTTGGAGTGATCATGGCAACTACAGGTCAGGTAATACTCCATATAATATTATTTAACAAACAAATTAATCAATTAAGGAGAGAAAGAAAGAATATATAAAAATATAATGGAAAGGTTATAGTTATAACTCTTAAGAATATTTTCTTATTGAATTTATTGTGTAGAAGATTTACTTTTCTTCTTATATGTAGGGTCTGAATGTCATTACAGAGTACATTTTTGGTCTAATATTACCAGGAAATCCTATAGCAAATATGACATATAAAACATATGGAACTGCAAGCATGAACCAGGCTTTTACACTTCTTAGAGATTTAAACCTCGGACATTACATGAAAATCCCCCCGAAGTCCATGTTCATTGTACAGGTAACTTCTTAAAGCTAAAGGAATACTGGTCCAAAAACATTATTACTGCTAAAATGAATAAATTATTATTTTTATAAGATAGCAATCCACAGAAAATAGGTAAATAGAAAATCTAGCCATATTTTATCTTCAATTATTAACTTCATTAACATAGTTTTCTACGAATAATGAAAAAGCATAAGGCTAGCAAATGTTCCTGCAGCTTTTGTATTTAAAAATACAAATTATATTTCAGTTTATTTGCTTTTTTATATAACGAGCTAAATAGAAATAAAGCTTGAATCATATTCGACTAAATGTTTCTTCTGTTTGTGTGTGGGTTTGGGACGGGGATCAATGTTTATGTGTATATGAGTTTTTATATGTATATATATTGTGTATAATAATACTTATACATTTATATTTATGTAAATATTATATATGTGGCGATATATATATATATATATATATTCTATGACTTTAAAGAAAACTTATACATTAATTAACAAGCTGAATGTAAACAATGAAATGTGATAAATATATTTTACCTGTATGGTGTACATCAAAACTTAATTTTCTTTAGCTCAAGGTTCAAGAACATAATTTTATATGCAATTTTTTTTGTTAAAATGATAGTTGACAGGTACTATGATAGCATCTTTTGTTAACTTCACAATAACATCGTTCCTTCTCAACACAATAAAGCATAAATGCGATCCAGAAAATCTTTCTCAAGGGAGTCTATGGACTTGCCCCAATGATGATGTATTCTATAACGCATCCATAATTTGGGGGCTCGTTGGCCCAATGAGAACATTTGACAAACTTGGGAACTATTCAGCTCTGAACTTCTTCTTCTTAATAGGTTTATTGTTACCCATTCCCTTCTGGTATCTATCAAAAGTCTTCCCCAGGAACAAATTGCTTAGATGCATCCACATCCCCCTGATCATAGCAGGAGGTGGGCTTTTTCCTGCACACTCTGTGAACTATATCATGTGGGGAACAGTGGGCATTTTCTTCAATTATTATATTTATAAAAGGTATAAAGAGTGGTGGGCAAGGCACACCTATGTAATGTCAGCAGCTTTAGATGCCGGGGTAGCTTTCATGGGAATATTCATCTTCTTTGCTTTGCAATTTAATAATATCAGTGGAATAGATTGGTGGGGAGGTGTTGCAGATGATTATTGCCCTCTTGCTAGCTGTCCAACAGCTCCTCAAGTGATAATTAAAGGTTGTCCGACTGTTAAGTAGCTGAGTTTGTTAAAATCTTCAGAGCTGTTTTCTCTAAAGCCTCTCAGTTATTGTGTACATTACACTTTTTGTTTTACATGTCCTATTTTATTGCCTGGATAATAATAAAATACTTAACGTAATTTCTATAATGTGAATAGCTGATGTGATCTTAAAAGTTTTCATGATTCAAAACTCTTAAACCATTTTTAAATGCTAGTAATTTCATGTTTATCCTAAGTGCATGTGTTGGATTCAAAATTGTTCCTTTGTAAAACCACTGACAAAAATGGCTAAGAAATAAGAGCAAACACGAGAAAAAGAGAATGTAGAGTGCCATGGATCAGTACATGACTACTGCAAATAATTCGAAGTGTTAAGCTCACCGTCTGACCGCCTATATATTCACACGTTGGTGGGAAGGCACAAAACTATAGAAAATACTACATTTAAGCAATATAAGTCCTTTCAATTACTAAGGAAATGAAAGAAAGTTAAAGTTCAATAAGTGATGAAGGAGATAGAAAATATTCAACACTTATAAACTCTCCTCTCCTGACAATAAATTGGAACCAGGTGAAACAAATACGGAGGTTAATAAGTCGTCTGTTCATATTGACCATACACCTTTGCTGAATGTTCCTATGGATCATGCAACTTCGATGAACCTTCCTCCTAATATTGAAACAATAGATGTTGAGGAGAATCACCATTTGTTCCGAACAAAGGTAAGAATGATAAATCTTTTTTATGCCAATCCGACAATATTATGATAAGACAATGTAAGAAGAAGCTTTTGGTAAATCCTAATTGTTGGCCTCGTTTTTATTTTGATTTTCCTTTGGTCACATTCGATCGAGTTGATCGAGCCTCATCGATCTCAATTCAATTCGAATCGACATCAATCTGAGTTTGATTTTTGTTGAATTAGCATAGTCAAGCCGCATTGAACTTGAGTCAGCCCAATTCGAGTCAAATCGAGTTTGATTTTCTTCAATTATTATATTTATAAAAGATATAAAGAGTGGTGGGCAAGGTACACCTATGTAATGTCAGCAGCTTTAGATGCCAGGGTAGCTTTCATGGGAATATTCATCTTCTTTGCTTTGCATTTTAATAATATCAATGGGATAGATTGGTGGGGATAGATTGGTGGGGAGGTGTTGCAGATAATTTATTTCCCACTTGCTACTTATCCAACAGCTCCTGGAGTGGTAATTGAAGGTTGCCCGCCTATTAAATAGTTGAGTTTGTTTAAATCTTCATAGTTGCTTTCTCCAAAGTCTTTTATTTATTGTACACATGTGCACGTTAAATTTTTTGTTTTACATGTCCTATTTTATTGTCTGAGTAATAATAAAATAGTTAACTTCTATAATGTGGATAGCTTATGTGATGTTCAAAGTTTTCATGATTCAAAAACTCTTTAACCATTTTTAAATGCTAGTAAATTTATATTTATCTGAAGTGCATGTGTTGGATTCAAAATTGTCCCTTTTGTAAAACTACTGACAAAGATGACTACGAAATAAGGGAAAACATGACTAGTAACCAAGTAAACACAATCTAAGAGCTCTAAATCTTCTAGTATTTATCAAAAGTCTTCCCAAGGATCAAATATCTCTAAATCTTTTTCATATTGATCAGTGTAATAAAGTAAACATAGTCTAAGAGATATTTCAATTTATATTTATTTCAATGATTCTCTTATTTCTTTGAAAGTATTCACAAAACAATTAGAGAATGAAAAATATTTAAATCTATTTAATTGAGTTTACTCATAAATTATGATAGATTATGTAGGTTTGCCTCTATCACGCATAGCATCAATAGAAATATGTTAATATAAGCCAAAAAGACTTATGAAGTTTTTTGTGCCTATTTGTCCTCCTTAGCTTTGCTTTATAAGTCTTTTCAATTACTAAGGAAATGAAAGAAAGTTAAAAGTTCAATAAGAGATGAAGGAGATAGAAAATATTCAACACTTATAAGTTCTCCTCTCTTGACAAAAAATTGGAACCAGGTGAAACGAATATGGAGGTTAATAATTCTTAGGTTCATATTGACCATACAACTTTGCTGAATGTTCCTATGGATCATGCAACTTCGACGAACCTTCCTCCAAATATCGAAACAATAGATGTTGAGGAGAATCAACCATTTGTTCCGAACAAAGGTAAGAATGATACATCTTTTTTATCCCAATTCGACAATGTTATGATAAGATATGCTAGGAAGAAGATTTTGGTAAATCCTAATACGTGGTCAACTTTGAGGCAAAGTTAGCTCCAAGAGCCATAAATGTCTACTTGTTATCAAATCCTAACTTCCATGAAGGACTTGTAGCTCTTGTATATGAGCCCATACAAAGTGAACTTCTTGAGAAAATGCATCGCCTAGAGTATTTTGTTGATCAATTAAAGTATGAGAGATTTTTTCTAAGAAGGTTCCAATTACTATGGAAGAAGAAAATTTAATCATTCTTAAGAAAGTTGATGTTGGAGACTCGCAACATGAGATCCTTGATACTCATAAAGTTGATACAATTACCCTAGTTGTTAAACCTATTGAAGTCGATGTTGAAGGTAGCATAAAAGGAATTCTAAGGCTTCTTTAAATCATAATACTGATATGCATATTTTAGCTCTAGTTACTTTATAAGAAGGGAATGTGATTTTCTTTTTTAGACAAAAAAAAGCTGAATACTTAATAATTAAAATTTTTTCTTTTAAGTATTATATTAAAATTAACCAAAATCTACTTTTTTTTTTTTTTTTTTTTTTTTTCTTTTTTTTTTTTTTTTTTTTTTTTGTCAACTTTTGTAATTAGAGCTTCTATGGAAATCAAAAGAAATTACTTAACTATTTTAGATAAAAATTTTGAAGCATTTGATAGTTGCTCTTCAATGGTACAAGTAGCCGCTAATGACATTCATTGTAAAGTTTTATAGTTTAAAAATTGAAATCATCTCCACTTGCAAATTCATGGAGTTACCTACATATATCTAATTTTTTATTCATGGTGAGTTTTTTCTTTAACAATTAATTTAGTGAGGTTCATTCCTTAAACAATTACACTATATCTCGCTTGTTTTCTTTAGTTTTGCTTTACCTAATGGAAATGTTAAAGAGGGGCTAATTTCACATCATCCCTAAAGTTTGTTAAATTTTTCTGAAAGTTATATGTAAAGAACTGTCAATTTCGGGTTACGAGTCGGGTTCGGGTCGAACCCGAAACTGACCCGGCACTATTCGGGTTCGGGTCGACCCGACCCATTTTTGCAAACGGGTTGATTTTCTGGACCCGAACCCGACCAGCTTCGGGTTCGGGTCAATCCGACCCACGTACGCCTGAAGCGGAAGCGGCGCGAAACCACTGGACGCGGATGCCGTACGCGGCGCGGAATCACTGGACGCGGACGCTAGACGCAGGAAGCGGCGCAGAACCGCTGGACTCCCGACCCCGAAAGCGACGCGAGACTGCCGCGGACACCGGACGCGGCGCTGAACTGGCTCGAAAATGGCGTGGACACGACCCGACATGGCCTCGGGACGCGATGCGAGGCAGCCTCGGGATGCACCGCGACGTGACGCGGTCGGGCAGGCGGGCAGGCTGGAGTAGGGCAGGCGGGGCAACCGGGAAGCGGGCAGACGTATTTATGTGCATTCCGGGTCATTTTGGGTTATTCCCGGGTCAACCCGAACCCGACCCGGTTTTTCAAAAGGGTCGGTTTTCAGAACTCGAACCCAACCCGCTTCGGGTCAACCCAAACCCGAAATTTTTGGGTCGGGTCCAATATTGACAGGTCTAAATTGTAACTTTTTTTAAAATCATTTTTATTTTATCTTAATGCATTTGTTTATGCCATTTTTTGGGACGAGGTTGGCTTGGCTACATCATCAACAAACTTAGCCTAATCTATATCCCTATGTCTCTCCTCTTGATGCATTTAAGCATTTCTAAATCTTATAAGATGGATTACCCTTAAGTTGGAGATGTTTAGCTCTAATAACTCTTAGCTCTTTTCTTGTCTTAATGGACTAAAACCTAACTAGAATGGATTCTTATTGTTGTCACTTAGATTGAGATAGATTTAGGTGTACACAAACCTACGATTAACCTTGGTTAGAAGTAGTTTGACACTAGGAATTATAAATTACCATAGAGCTTGCTTAATTAGAACCCAATCAAGGACTAACCTAACAAAACATTTGCTTAGAATTAGTCTACCTAGTTCGACATAAATTCTATTTAGATCATATTATGTAGTGTGTGTCCTTTATTTACTTAAGTTATCTAGGATAGCCCTTGATAATTCTAACCTACATGCTGACTCATAAGCAAAGGCCCCCTTTAGGGGCAATGAATTAGATTGGCGCAAATAACCCTTTTGTTTAGAGGATACAATACATCTTAGAATGCTTATACGGATGGCTTCCAAGACACCACCCATATAAGAGTAATGAATTAGGTGGCCAAAGGGACCATCTTCAGCAGGAACGGAGGTTGGAAGAACCATATTCAGTACGCATCAGAGGTCAAAAGGTCCATAGTTGGGTAACAGTGATTGGATGGAATGTAATTGGCAGGCAGCAGAGGTTGAAAGGGCTATAGTTGGGTGACAGTGGTTGGAGAGACTGTAGTATGTAGGCAACGGAGGTCGAGAGGATCATAATCTGGCAAACGGGGGTCAAAGGGATCGTAATCGAGCAATAACGGTTGGAGGGACCGTAATCGACGGATGATGGCGGCCGGAAGGATCATAGTCGAGCAATGATGATCAGATGGACCAGAGTCATAGAGGTCTGAAAGGACATAGTTAGGCAATGGTAGTCAAAAAGACAATAATAGTTGAAAGGCAAAGGTCGGAAGGATCGTAGTCGAGTGACGGTGGCCTGAGGGACTATAGTTGGCAGTAGATGGACATTGAAATGATTGTCATCAAGCAACAGTGGTCGAAAAGGCCCGTAGTTGGTGGATGATGAAAGTTGGAAGGATCGTTTTCGAGCGAGGGTGATATGTAGGATCATTATCGATGGGCGACGAGGATCGGAGGGACCATAGTCGAGTGACAGTGGTCAAAACGGTCATTATCGATGAGCAATGAATGTTGGAAGGACTGTAGTCAACGAGGGATAACTACAACAAAATTGCTCATTACCAACAGATTTCCGACAAATTTACAATGGATTACTTTAAAATA